TCAATCCCCAGCCCTGTGGGTGCACTTACACTTGGAGCCTCGCTGTTCTCACCTGTAAAATGGGCTAATAATGCTTTCATTCCAGGGTCATTGAAAGAACTTCACACGTTACAACATGTGTGTCCTTTAGCCCAATGCCTAGCACCTAGTAGGGCTACATAAATAGCAGCCGTTGTTGTTGTTAAAGGGATAGAGGAGTCATGGAACAGCCTGCAATCCCAGCCAGGAGACAAGGGATTTGGGAACGCGCTCACAGAGGCCGTGGAGCGGGGCAGCTGTGAGGGAGAGGAAGGAAATTCACACGGAACCTTCGTGCGTCTGGTACGTATGGCGCTTTGGCAGAGACCGACTGGGGATGGATGCAGTTCTCCCCGGAAAGATGTGAACGGCACTTGGTATCCCTGGCTGTTTAAGCCAGGACCCGTCCTCTGTGTGTCTGTGTGTTCCATGCTCACGTGGGCGTGTGTGGATGTAAATCGCACCCGGCTCGGAGACGCAGGGGCGGGTGGAGAACAAAGAGGGGACAGGCTCCCCCGAGGAAAAAACTGGGGCCATCGGGGGGGCCTCAGGGCCAGAGGTCGGATCTGGGTTCTCTCTTCTACGTTGGGCCAGAAGTGGACACGTGGCCTCAGTGGGCTTGTCTGTGAAATGGGGCTGAGGTCACCGTTCCTACCCTCACCCTAGGCCTAAACTAGATCTCCCTTTGAGCGAAAGGGTCCACAGCTGTGACTTGTCAAGGGCCGGCCTCGCCGTCTGACATAGAGTGACTGTCATTCACTGTCCCCCCACTTTGTGGGAGGGACGCAATCTCCTTCAGCCTCCTGTGGCCCCACCCTTGTGCTCACAGAAAGTCCTCTCTTCCTTGAGCCAAATGCACCAAACCATTTTATCAGCTCCAGCTGCCTCTCCACTTACGCATCGATTTAGCCCGAGATCAAACTAAAATGTGGGAAGCTGTAAGCCTTACCGCTATCTCCTTCCCCTCGGTACTCTCTGATGATGTGTAAACAGCAAATTGCAAATGATTTCCTCTTTATTTGTCAACTCCTCCAGCCACCTCGGGGTCCCTTGGAATGAGTGATGGGCTCTGGGACATTGCATGACAACTGGCTTTGTGTAGCTGCTCATCTCCAGGGAGGCCTTCTTCCAGAATGCGGGGATTCCAGGGGAGAGGGGACGGGTCGGGGGAGGTCAGACCTACACAGTCCGGGGGTCTTGTGAGTTGGAGAGGTCACAGGCTCTCTGAGTTTGGGGTTCCCTTTCTGCGAAACCAGGGTTAGGGGACGCAAGGGTTATTGTGCATTTTGGACAGCAGTGGCACCCCTCATTTTTAACCAGACTAGGCGTCAGTACAGGATACGAAGCAGGTAAACATGTGGGCTATTGAAGCGAAGTCCAGGGCGGGGCTGCCAACCCCTCCCCCCAGCCTTTCTTCTCACCCCCAGCACCCTCTGTGCTATTTTGAGGAAACCCAGGGCCCTAGGAGCCCAATGTGGCCACCACTGGACTCAGACCCCTTCTTGCTTGAGATGGTCCAAGTCTCTGTGTGTGACACCCACTGCCCTGCTCCCCAGTCCATTCTGACCTAGAGTGTGCGTGCATGTATGCGCGTGCATGTGTGTGCATGTGTGTGTGTGCATGCGTGAGCCATAAACAAATGCTCACAAAGAAAGCAACAAGAAGTTCCCCCAGCCATTAAGAGGAAATTACAAATGCATTTTTCTCTGCCTCCGGCACATTAATAAAAGAGATTACAAAACTGGAAGCGAGTCGAAGCTGGGCAGCCTCACAACATTTGGAAGGTGGGGCACGGTGGGTGGGGCACGGAGGGGGGCGCTGCTTTCTGTACAGTCATCTGATTTCATGGCCGTCGCCATGCTGAGAGAATCTGTCTGCGGTGGCTGCTGGGAGGATGCGAGGCTCATGCATTAAACATCAGGGAGACCCTCCCAGCATGCACTGTGGGGCAGGTGACATGTCCCTGCACAGCAATGCCTGTGGGCGGAGACCTGGAGATGGATCACTGTTGGCCTGAAAAATCGCTGCCAGTTGCAGGGAGTGAGGTAAAGGAGGCTGCATGAGGCAGAAAGTGCGATGGTGTCCTCTGGTCTTGAACGTGGGAGGGTCACCACGGTCACTTTGTCTCAGTGGTCATCGCAACGGGTTGCTGTGTGTCATGAGCTCTGGGCCAGAGAAGGGGGCTGGTTATTGGGGTGATGGAATTGCCGGCTCCGACTCTTCACCCCTCCATGTAGCCATGACATGGGCCATGTGACTCAGCGGCCTCTCCTCAGCCGGGGTGCGTCCTTGTGCTTTGACTCCGAGTTTGACTTTGGCTCTGGCCAATGTTTTGTGAATGGGAGGGCCAGGGCTCCAGGTTGGGGATGAGGCCTTAAGAAGCCACGTATGTTTCTATGCTTCTCTTGCCCCTCTGCCCTCGTCAGGAGAGGATGAGGGTCTGGCTAGCCTGCTGGCCCACGGAGGATGACAGGCATGTGGAGCTGAGCCGGACACACCCTGCAGCTCAGAGCTGCCCCTGCTGACTCACAGAATAAAGCTGGATGAGAAATAAATGCATGCCCCTTGCTGTATGCAACTGAGATTTAGCAGCTGTTTGTTACGCAGCAATAGCTGACTGATACACTTGTATATAAAGTCTGCCATTTTACTCACGCATTTGTTAATTTGGTAACTATTTCCCGAATGCTGCCATGATGGACAATTTGGCAAGCAGCAAGGATGTAATGATTAATAAGAAATCTGTGAACATGGGCAGAGATTTCAGATGTATTAATTCAAGGATGAAACATCTACCATGTGCCAGGCATGGAAATCAGTGTTGTCATTATGGTGGCAAACAAACCATTTAAGACCCCTGCCTGCAAGATGCTTATAGACAGCAGAGACGGCAAGCAGCAAAACAGAAAACGTCCAAAAAGCCTGATGGAGAAGGTTGTCTCTTCCCTTAAATTAGTCACTGTCCAGTGCAAAAGACAAGAATGTCTATTAGTAGGCCATTGCAAAACAGAGTGGTAAGTACTAGGATGATACCTACAGGTAGCTCAGAGGAAGTACCTCCTGCAGCTTGGGGTTGGAGATAGGAACAAGGTAGGTAAGGAATGGCTTTTCAGGGCACCGAAGGTCCAATAGTTTGCAGACAGAGAGAGGAAGGACAGGGATGGAGCACTGAGAAGGAGGCACAGCAAGGGCAATGGTAGGGTGACAGGAAAATTCATGGTGCCTGAGGGCCAACACCTATTTCTGTTTATTGTTGCAAAATAGAGGAGAGAGGTGGGGGGGGGGGGGGGGCGGGGGGGGAGAGAGAGAGGCAGGAAATGAGCAGCTGGAAGGGACCAGAGCATGAAGGAGTTCAGGTGCCAAGTTGAGATGCTTGGACTTGATCCCAGGAGGGAAATAGAGACCTGCAGAAGGGTTTCAGCAGAACACCACATCAGGTTGCCACCTGAGAATCTTAGAAACGGGGAGTGGCTGGGGCAAGACCAGAGGCCAGGAGGCCAGGAGGAGGCAGGGCGATGGTCCAGGAGAGGAGAAATGACGTCCATACTGGGCAACATGGGCATGAGAAATGTCTCCACCCTTGGAATTATGGGATCAGAGATTGTGCCTCTGGACGTGTCCTGGGACCACCAAGTTCCAACCACTCTTCTTGCGAAAACTGGGTCTCAGAGAGGGAGGTGACATGCCCCCAAGTCTCACAGCAGAGAGCCTAGGGCTCAGGGCTGGAAGAGAGACCGTCATATTCTACACCCTCAGCTCACCCCACAGCCTCGCTCTGTCGTCTCCTAATTTCCACAATCTGATTAATACTATTAATTACTGGAATAATACTGATTACTATGATCTAGTCACCGAGCCCCTGCTCTGTGCTCAGCTGTCTGCTCGGCACATGATGTGTAAAGCCTCACTGAATCCTGCCAGTATTCTAAAGAGTCAGGATTTCTCATTTTGCAGATGAGAAACCTGAAGCCACCTAAAGTCGAGCCTCAGTGTTTGTCTTGGTCAGCTCAGGCAGCTAGAACAAGATACCAGAGACTGGGGGGTTCCAACAACATGAGTTTATTTCCCACGGTTCTGGGGGCTGAGAAGTCCAAGATCGAGGTGCCAGCAGAATAGGGTTTTGGTGAGGGCTCTCTTCCTGGCTTGTCGACAGCCGCCTTCTCGTTGTGTGCCCACAGGACCTCGTGTGTGTGTGTGTGTGTGTGTGTGTGTGTGTGTGTGTGTGTGTGATGGGGACTGCAGTCTAGGGCAGCGGTTCTCAGGGTGTGTCCCCTGGGCCAGCAGAGGTGGCAGTCACCTGAGAGCTTGTTAGGAATGTGAAATCTGGAGCCCCCTCCGGGCTGACTCCATCGGAAACTCTGGGAGCAGCACCCAGCAGTTTGTGTTTAACAAGCAATCCTGGGAAGTCTGAGGCATGTTCAAGTCTGATCTGGTCTAGATGAGTGATTTTTCCACGTTTTTAAGTGACACAAATGTTTTCTTCTAACAAACATCCCGAGAAAGCAGGTCCCACAAGCAGGCAAAAAAAGACAGAAACCAAGGCCCAGGGCTCTGTCCGCTCTCCCTTTCCTTGCCCCCTTGAAGGCCAAGGCGCTGCCAAAGCTCGCTGCCCTGTGTGGATCCCTCCTGCCAAGCAGGGCTCCCCCTCCTACCTGCCTCCCTCCCTCCCAGCCTCCCTCCCTGTTTACATGCTCCGTAAAGTATGGATTTGCTGTGGCCTCTGCGAGACCTGCTCTACTTCTTCTTCCCTCCCTGATATTTTTGAGAATAGCCTGTAATTCACTTAATTACTTCCCAGAGCACGGATCCGGGGGCCACGGCACCGCACAAGGCAGGGGAGCGGAGACAGGTCCTCGGAAGCCTCTTTCCAGAAAATCTAATTACATCATTGAGAAATCTCCTGTCCTGAGCAGCCTCCGCCACCGCCATCCATTTGCATATTCTATATGCCAGCGCGGGAACTCCTGGGCCTGATTTGCATAATGCTGCTACTGGGGCCCGCGTGGCTCCTGAACCCCAATGCAGCCGGAGCGGGAAGCAATTATGAAGCCGTAGACATTGGCAGGGAGAGTGGCCTCGAATGGATTTCCACTCCAAACCTCACTCACCGCCCGAGGCCTGGAGCCCAGGCTGAAGGTGGAGCCGAAGGCCAGGAAAATCGGCCGGTCGCTCTCTTCAGGTTGCCTCTCGAGCCAGGCCCAGGCCCCGGCCCGATGGGAGCGAGCGGCTTTGGTTTTCCGAGGCCGATGAGGGGAGCAATCTGGTCCCGGTTCCACAGGTAAATGCGTTTCTTGGAAGCTTTCGTCACGCTGCCTTTGCCAGCTCATCCCTGCCCCTTCCACACACCAAAGAGACAGGTCGGCAAGGGTGTGCCTACCTTCTTGCCTACAACCAACCAGAAAAAGCTTAATTTAAATTAAAAAAAAATGGCAAAGTCCCGGTTGGAAAAAGGTAAGTGGAAGTAAGGATTCGCTCATGCCATGGTGGTCTTGCTTAAAATCTCGTCATCTCCACACTCGTGCCAGCTGGGAAGGTGGGCTCTTCCCTACTGTGAGCCTCTAGTGGGACAACCTGTACCCTTGGGCTCGGGGTCTCAGACCAGGGGGTCTGTGATGTGATGTTCCAGGGTCCAAGAGTCACTCCCTGTAGTTCCTGGACCTTCCGGAGCTGTGAACTTGACCTCTGAGTCATTGCACGACCTGCCACTCCCCATCTCGGGAGCCCATAAAGAGCCGCTATTGGCTATGCAGTCGCCAGCTTGGTTTTACTCCCGTGTCCGGCTGAGAGGTCTCCTCCAGTGCACGATGCTCAAAGAGCAAGCCTTGAGCCCTGAGTGGTCTCCTGTTGGGAGTTTGGACCCAGCCCTTCCTGACAGTTTTCAAACCACGTTCATTCACGGAACGCCCAGCCAGAAACCCACCTGTCCACATCTGTAGGTACATACCACGATTGCTTGCCAGGTGACGTCAAATAGAGTGCTGGCTGCCCTTGACAAAAGTATTGACAAGACAGGCCCTGGCTGCTTTGGCTCAGTGGGTAGAGCGTCGGCCTGCAGACTGAAGGGTCCCAGGTTCTGGTCAGGGCACATGCCCAGGTTGCAGGCTCGATCCCCAGTAGGGGGCATGCAGGAGGCAGCGGATCAGCGATTCTCTCTCTTCTCCTTTCCTCTCTGTCATCAATAAAAATATATCTTTTTTAAGTATTGATACAACAGGACATCATCATGCAACTTGTGGAAAGCTGACGGAGGTTGACCTGGGCGTTCCTGCTTGTATTTAATAATAAATGGATGGTGCAGCTTTAATATTTCCAAACCAGCATCTTTGGTGTCTGAGGAAATGGAAAAAAAAAACATTTGAAAACCGCCAGTTTCACTTAGGGCCGCCTCCGTGTCGAAAATTGGTGGAACTCAGCAGCTCCGAGATCATCCGTGGCATGGAAGGTTCACCCCAGCCAGGCCCGGAGCAGGGAGCCAGCTGTTGGAAACTCAAAGCAGCAGGTTCTTAGCTGAGGAAAAACAGCCCGTCGCTTCCCTTGCGAGGAGGTGCCATCTCCTTAAAAGACCTCAACGTTCTGTCCTCGGCACTGGCTGTCTCGCGACAGGAATGTGGAGGGAACTCACTTTTTCCATGATCGCATCCAGCGTTTAATTGTTTCTCCGGAGAAAAAGGAGATTGCTCCTGACTAGCCAAACCCGGGGCTCCAGAAGCACAAATGGTGACTTTTCCAGGGGAAATTGTTTTGGTGCATAACTGGGGCTCGCGCCCGAGAGCCACAGGTGGTCTTAACGTCAGCATTCGGGGTTTAGACACGGGTAAGTCCTCAGGCAAGTCCTTTACCATATCTGTTGGCCGATGTCAGGGGGGACCATAACAGTGCCCACGCCATTGTAGTCATGGTGGGGGGCGGGGGGCGGGATTCGATGAGATAATGCATAAGAACTGAGCCACACGAGGGTAAGTAACCTGCCCCGAGTCACAGATCGGAAGTGGTCCAGGCAGGATTTGAACTCGGGTGTGTGTGTTCAGCCATCTGATCTCACGCTGCCCCCTCTCATGACACAGGGATGCTGATGGCTGGCGCCGATGACAATCCAGTCTCGGGTTAGTTGCCTTTCTGGACTGAGCTGCTGGGAGGGGCTGGGTAGCAGGTCTTCAAAGGGAACGTGGGGTTCACCACACTGGTCCCCTCCTTTAGACACAGAGCTCAGCACTATACTAAGTGGCCCCAGGAAAGGGCCAGCTTTCCCTTCGATTGCCATGGGAAGGTGGGTAATTACAGTTTAAAAAAAAGCGGGGGGTGGGGGGGGGTGGGCGGAGTCTGGCTTAGCTCAGTGGTTGAGTATCGACCTAAGAACCAGAAGGTCATGGTTCGATTCCCGGTCAGGGCACATGCCCGGGCTGCCGGCTCGATCCCCAGTGTGGGGCGTGCAGGAGGCGGCCAGTCAATGATTCTCTCATCACTGATGTTTCTATCCCTCTCTCTCCCTCTCCCTTTCTCTCTGAAATCAATGCAAATATATTTTCTAAAAAAAGGAGGGCTGGAATGGCAAGGACAGTAAATGGCATTGTGCCCCCAGCCCCTGGGTTCCCAGTTGCAGTTGGCTCTGCCCGGTTTCAGGCGAGCTGGTGGCTCTCTTGCCTGCATCCCTGCAGTGACGTCGCAGCCTGCGAGGCAGGCCCTGGTGATGGAAGTGAGTGGGGCCCGGGAAGGCACAGCAGGCGGAAGGGGAAGAAAGCAGCTGCACGCTGTTGAAGCACAGAGCCCACCTTGAGAGACCCAGCGGTGCCTCGCTCACTTGCTTGGCGGTACCTCCTATAACCGAACACCTCCCAACTTTAGGACCCAGAGATCCATGCCCAGTATACACCCAATGAACATGAAGACACATGAACCAATGGGTGTGTGCAAGCCTAAATCTGAGGCTACCCAATGTCCATCGACACTTACATGGATAAACTGTGCTACGTTCCCAGGAAGGCATATACAGTAATGGCAAACCCAGCCCATGGTCATATCCAGCCACTTCCTGATTTATTTATTTTTTTTAAATATATTTTATTGACTTCAGAGAGGAAGGGGAAGAGAGAGAGAGAAATATCCATGATGAGAGAGAATCATCGACCGGTACCTCCTGCACACCTCACACTGGGGATCGAGGCTGCAACCCGCGCACGTGCCCTGACCGGGAGTCAAACCACAACCTCCTGGTTCATAGGTCAACACTCAGCCACTGAGCCACGCCAGCAGGGCCACTTCCTGTTTTACAAATAAAGTTTTATTAGAACACAGCCACACCCATTCATCACATATTGCCTGTAGCAGCTTTTGTGCTGCAACGGCAAAGATGACAGTTACAACAGAGATCGTCTAAGCCACGGAGCCTAACGCGTTTACTCTCTGGCCCTTGCCAGGGCGAATTTGCCAATCCTTGTGATATAAAAATGAAAACAGTCTCGACCTTTCCCGGGACATGTGAGGATTTTCTCAAACATAAGACTGAGGGAAAGAAGCCAGATGCAGGTGAGTACCTGCTGCCCATTTGCATTGACAGAACGTGCAGACAGACCAAACTATTCTCTGTCGCTAGGGGACGGGACGGTAGCTACCCTCAGACAGTGACTGATCGGGGCACAAGAAAACTGTACAGATGCTGAAAATCTGCCGCTGATTCTTGAGCTGGGTGACACGCCCCGGAGAGCACATCTTGTAGAAATTCATTAAGATGTACACACCCTGTGTATGTTGTTCACAGATAAAAAAAAAATTTTTTTTAAATAAATGCACAAAAGGAACGTAGGTGCATAGAGTGATGCCAAGTGTTCTATCGATGTATTTCCTGGACAGAAAGCTCAAAGAACAGATTGCCGAGTTGGAAAACAGATCACTTTAACTTTTACACAAGAGCACGCATTTATGCATTCGCTCTACAAATGTTTATTGATCACTCACCATGTGCCAGGTGCTGGAAATTCAGCAGTGAGCGAGTCAGACACGGCTCCCACCTTCTCCGCATGTATATCCCCACGCGCACGGGTCCACGCTGTCTCGCCTGGGCGTGCATGAACACTCTCCGTCACACACCTGCAGAGTGTACCCCCGGAGGCTGTATCTGCATGTGGCGTCATTCTCATGCAAGCACTTTTCTGAATTATCTGTTCTGTGAGCCCCATCAAGACAAGGATTGCTTCTTGTTCATTGCTCCATCCCCGTATGCCTCCAAGAAGCTTTACCTGTAGAATATGTTGAATGAGCAAATGACAGAATGAGCGAATGAATGAATGAATGAGTGAGTGAGTGAGTGAGTGAGTGAATGAATGAATAGAGCATCTACACTACAGTGCCTCACAATGCAGTTACACCTCCCAACGGTGCAGCGCTCTCAGCCGCCCTGATTAAGATATCCCAGGTATCGGCAACAGCTCCTGGCCTCTTTGTATATGGAAGCCTATTGACCCAGGGCCAGAGGGACACTTGGAAGCCATTTGTGTTTACTTCTCTGATCAATAGGCATCTCAATGCTCACCCAACACAACCCATCGCTGATGGTTATTAATCACAGTGCCTCCCTTTTCTGGTACCTCCTGACCTCCCCTGAGGTTCGTCCTTGTCCGTCCTCTCCCGTGAGTGGTTCCCAGGCTCTCACTGATGGGAGAAGAGCCCTCAGAGAATTGTTCATTTTCTCCTTCTGAGCCCAGTGTTTGAGCCTACAAGCTCCAGCAGTACCAAAGGCCCCCCCTCCCCCGGGACCTGGCTCGAAACAAATTCATTCATGAATTCATTAAACACATATTAATTGAGCACCTACTACACGCCAAACTCTGTTCTCACTGCTGGAGACGCAGCAATGAATAAAATGGATGGAAGTCCCATCCCCCAAGGAATTTACATTCTGGCGGGACAGACAGATAACAGTAATAATAAACTATAGGGCATATTGGGCGGAGAGAATTGCTGTGAAGAAAGAAAAGGCAGGATCGGGCAGCAGACAGCACTGTGGGTGGAACTGCGACTTAAAATAGGGTTACAGCCTGCTATGACTCAGCAATAGCTAACTGATACAGCTTGGCTCCCTTACTTCCTAGCCTGCTGATCTTGGGAAAGTCACTTCCCCTCTCCAAGCCTCTGTTCCTCCATTTGCGAAATAGTGGTGGTGGTGGTGGTGATAATGATGATGATGATGATGATGATGATGATAATGATGATGATGATGGGTTGAGCGTCAACCTATGAACACAGTTCGATTCCCG